TTTATCTTTTTCGTTATTTTCTAAGCAATACTATCTTTCAATGGGCAGACATGATGTCAATCGGGACACTATTGGCCTATACTTTAGTCGCCGAATCCATTCTCATTATAAGGTATATTCATTTCTCGATCTATTCTTTGTATTGAATTCTTTGTTCAGATATTCAGATGACGTGAAAGCTATAAATCAAGTGAAAAATGAATCGGAAGAAATGCAAACCATAAACCAATATCCAATTACTCGCCAAAATATTTACCGACAAATCTTCAGCGGCCGTCGTATGACACCCTTTCCCAACCAATTGTCATCAATTGTATCCAATTATCTCATCGGAACTTTAAGTTAGAATATTTCTCATTTCCTTATTATTTGTTGTTTAACTCAATTTATCTATGGTTTTAGCCCTTCTTCTGGTCATATTAGACATACAATTAGTCTTTTTAGAGGACTTACTGTTTAAGGCCAAAGTGGGTCCACTCGTTGGCGTTGGAATCACAACTTTGATTATCATTGCGGCCGCAATTTGTCTCACAAGACAGCCGACAATCCCAGAGTCGCGTTCATTTGAGGTGACTCTCACTCTCTGTTTTTTATATATTAATAGTTATTAACGACAATTCATTATCTTGTCTTCAGGTGCCGTGGGTTCCATTGGTTCCATTCCTAAGCGTTTGGGTTAACGTCTATTTAATGTTTAAGCTGTCGGTCCAGACGTGGATCCGATTCGCCGTTTGGATGATAATCGGTTTGAAATGAATTTACAATTTTATTTGTCATAAAAATAATCATTTGTTTCTTTGACTTAAGGTCTTATAATTTACATCTTTTACGGCATTCGCAACAGTAATGAACGAAAACAAGATAACAAGCGATTATCTCATGATTTGACCGATAAATAAAACACATTGGTTTCAAAGGGAGTAAAAGTTGCTTTAATAATAAATATTTAATTAAATAAATAAAATATATTTATAGTATAATATAATAAGTAATTATAACTTTTTTTTAATAAAAAAAACACATAAAATTGAGTGGAAAATCTCAGATCAAGTGAGTCGTGGATTACAGATAAATAAATTAATTAAATGTCAATTCAAAAAATAAATCCTAAATCAATGCCTTATTTCAATAACTCATTTAAAAGCTCCTGTTTAGTGATGCTCTCGAGGGGGCCATTCTTGGCGGCCAAGTCGAGGGCAGTGGTCAGATCCCAGACTTGGAGGTGACCGTTAGAATGCCCGGTCAATATGTAGCGCCGCGACCGGTTGCCCATCGCCACGGCCTCACACTCGTGAACACAGTAAGCGGTGATCATTGAGTTGTCGACCGAACGTAATGTACAGATCTTTTGGCCGTTGGAAGCGG